CAGCAAAAGGTTCTTCCCCCACAGGCTGGTTGGGCACTGAACAGGCTCCCCAGGGCAGTGGGCACAGCCCCAAGGCTGCCAGAGCTGCAGGAGGCTTTGGATGATCCTCTGGGGCACAGGGGGTGACTCTTGGGGATGGGGCTGTGCAGGGCTGAGGGTTGGACTGGATGATCCTTGTGGGTCCCTTCCCGCTCAGCACATTCTGGGATTCTGTGGCTCTGTGACATCAGACCTCTGGTAGGTCCTACCCCACTCCTTTCAGCCCTTTGTGGGTGTCTGAGAAGATCTGGAGTGACACAAATGGTTCAGGTGGCTCTGAATTGACCACTGTACTTGTAACTCTGTGAGAGGAGGGCTGTGACCACGCTGCCTTTGGGAAATCACGGGCAGGGCTGTGCTGGAAGACAAGGCTGAATCAGCCTGTCTTTGAGAAACGTGTGTTCAATGTGAAGGGTGGGTGATGGGAGGTTTAAAACACCCTGGGGAAGTCACAGTGGGAGAACAGTTGTGAAGGCAGCTCTGGATCCCCAAACCAGACACACATTTAGCTGCTGGGCTCATTTCTAGGCAGCAGAGAGCACCAAGGACACAGTGAAATGAGAACCTCAGAGAGAAGGAAGATGTTCTGCTGTCCAGCAGGACACGGGAGGAAGGCAGCAGGGGAGGGGCTGGCCTAACTTCTGCAAATATTTTTTGAAGGAAACAATTTAACCTCCAAACCAGGTCTAGAAAACTGTCTGTGAAATACCTGCACTGTACTGGGGTGGATTTTGCCTTTAATTTTTCTGGGAGGTGGGAGAAGCTGGCAAATGACTCGAGACTGCACAGAACCAACACATTTGCTGAGGAGAAATTCCCCTGCTGCTCTGTCACTTCTGGTCAGAATCCGTGCTGTGGTCTCAACCAGCCCATGGTTGAGAGGAGCTCAGGGGGGCCTGCAGGCTGCTGAGGGCATACTGAGCACACACTGCATTGCTCTTCATGAGCACATTTTAGGGCTGTACCACAGGAACACGGAAACCCAAGGCTTGGGCATCCTGCTGCTCCCCAGCTGCTGCAGAGGGTTTAGCCTTCTGATTTCATTTTCAGGCCATATTTGAAGTGGCCACTGGCTTGGCCTTTTTCATGCAGCTAATGCAACCCCGTCACTGCTATGAGCTCCCACAGAGCCCACTGCAATCTGTTCTCCCTTTGCTTCCAATCATTGAAGTTTTTGCTTTGTTAAACACTTTCACGTCTGCCTATTTTAATATCTGAACACCTGGGAGTTATAAATGCCATTCAACAGGTCCCTGTCCCTTGGCTGAGCTGATGACAGCTCATTTTCCAGCTTGCAGCAAAGGAACAAGGACTCAAAACCTCACAGATAGTCTGGACTTGAATTTTAGCATCCAGGCTCAGTGCTAATCTTTATTGCCAGTGCCCTCAGCTTTAAATCCTGACAGAGGGCACTGAGACACTGGCTGGGGACTCCCCCAGTGACCAACAAAATGAACATCAGTAGAGGGGCACTTTCCACCCCTCAGGTGGGGGGCACCCTCATGCACCCTCCACCCCTCAGGGACAGCACTTTCCTACCTCAGAGACCTCTCAAACACCTTGCCTGGTCATCTGACTGCACCCAGACGTGGTCCCTCAGTCCCACTTCACACCCCTCTGCGTGCAGGGGGAGCAAGAACATCCCCAGATCCCACCAGAACCTCTGGGGCCATGGCCCCGTGTTTCCCTGGAGCTTCCAGGCTTATGGCATTAACCAGAGGTGTGGCCCAATGAGAGGGCAATTTGATGATCAGCCCCAGTTACAGTGAGCCCACAGACTTGTTTCTGTGTCTCTGGGGTGGGCAGAGCACAGTCTGAGGGGGTGAAGGTGGGTGATGCTGCCTGAGCCGGTTCAGGCTGCACTGGGGTCAGTCCACAGCTCCCCACGGTGAGTGGGTGACTGACAGCCCAGACCCCCCTCCCCCCCTGCTCCAGGTGCTCTCAAGGCAGCAGTTTGCTTCTCTCCATAATCACTGTGGACAAGGAAACATCTCCCCAGGATCCATTTCTCTGCTCTGCTGGTGCCAGATTGAATTGTGTCCAGGATCCTGTCACTGGGGCTGGCTCTGGTACAGCTTCCCTGCCTGCTGGAGTTTGGGAATGACTTGCCTCTCTCCTCTCAGGTTGGTGCACACTGTAGACCTGTCTTTCTCTGTTGTTTTTCTTGCAGACAAGCCACGAATGAACAACATCCTCACTTCTGCCACCGAACCCTACGACCTGTCCTTCTCCAGGTCCTTCCAGAACCTCTCTCACCTCCCACCATCCTACGAGTCTGCTGTCAAGACAAACCCAAGTAAATATTCATCTCTGAAGAGACTAAGTAGGTGTCAGCTCGTTTCATTTCCTTTGTATCTCTTTGTTTTGAGCTTCACTGGGCTCAGTGTTCAGGCAATAACCTCCTCCCTCTGCTCTGCTCTCCCGGGTTGGCATCTCCAGTAATGATTCCTTTGGCTGTTGCTTCCCATCAAGGATGAGGAGAGGCAACGAGTCATTTCATTACTGGCAGAGTACATGTGGTCATTTGCTTACTGACCTCCTTGCTGTGCTGCCTCCCACTCCTCCACCTCAGACTGCTCCTGATGGAGTTTGCTGAGAATCCTTTTTCCTGTATGGGCAGGGGCAGAGGAGGGGCAGGACTGAGCTCTGCTCTGGGGGGAGCAGGGACAGCCCCCAGGGAATGGCTGGAGCTGTGTCAGGGCAGGCTCAGGGTGGATCTCAGCAAAAGGTTCTTCCCCCACAGGCTGGTTGGGCACTGAACAGGCTCCCCAGGGCAGTGGGCACAGCCCCAAGGCTGCCAGAGCTGCAGGAGGCTTTGGATGATCCTCTGGGGCACAGGGGGTGACTCTTGGGGATGGGCCTGT